GTGGGCGGGGAGGATCCCACACTCTCCCTGGGGGGTTTGGGCGCTGAGGTGTGGGCGGGGAGGATCCCACACTCTCCCTGGGGGGGTTTGGGCGCTGAGGTGTGGGTGGGGAGGATCCCACACTCTCCCTGGGGGATTTGGGTGCTGAGGTGTGGGTGGGGAGGATCCTTCAGTCTCCCTGGGGGGTCCTGCTGCTGAGGCATGGGTAGGGAGGATCCCTCACTCTCCCTGAGGGGTTTGGGTGCTGAGGTGTGGGCGGGGAGCATCCCACACTCTCGGGGGGTTTGGGTGCCGAGGTGGGCAAGGAGGATCCCACAGTCTCCCTGGGGGGGTTGGGTGCTGAGGTGTGGGTGGGGAGGATCCCACAGTCTCCCTGGGGGGTTTGGGTGCTGAGGTGTGGGTGGGGAGGATCCCACAGTCTCCCTGGGGGGGTTGGGTGCTGAGGTGTGGGTGGGGAGGATCCCACAGTCTCCCTGGGGGGGTTGGGTGCTGAGGTGTGGGTGGGGAGGATCCCTCACCCTCCCTGGGGGATCCTGGTGCTGAGGCGTGGGTGGGAGCCATGGAGCTCACCGCCCAGTATTGCTCGGGCAGCTTGGAAGGAGGCATAGGTGGTCAAGGTGAGGGGGCCGCTGTGGGACCGTGGCCATCAGCTCTCCCAGGCAGAGAGCAACTCTGGGAGGAGCTGGGTCAGGCTGGGGCTCTGGGGCTGTCCCCCAATGTGCTCAGCGATGCCTCCGCGCTGGCATCACTGCATTGAGGCTGTCCCCATGTCCCCTGTGGGCCCCCCAGCTCCCAGTACTGGGTGGAGGTGGCCTCAGACGGCGGGACCAGTGACCCTGAGGGCCATAGTGGCCGCCTCGCTGCTTCTCAGCACCAGCTTCAGCTCATGGCCCGGAATCCTATGGAGAAACGTTTCTTGTCTAAATGAAACCTTCATGTCTGTTGGTGAAGCCCATGAGGCCTGATTCAGACAGAAGCACCACTCTGCTTAGAAACAGGTATTTCCTAACCCTGCCTTTTGGAAATCAGAGTCAAATCCCAGTGTGGAAAGATGGCCAGCAGGAAGCCGCCATTTCACACTGGGACTGGCTCCGGGACAGTTTGGACATGCAGTGAAACTCAAGAAACAGAAAACGGCTTCTTCTCCGAGAAAACACCAAATGGCGATGATGCCGGTGCAGTGGTGGGGCCCAGGGATGGGGAACCACAGTGGCTTCCATGGAGGTTTCAGCAGTGGCATCCGGGGCCAGGGTCACGGCCATGCTGAGGCTGAGGCCGCGGAGCTCACGGAGGCAAGGCTGAGGACAAGGAGGGGACGCCCGTCACCAAGCCGGGCTGCCTGGTCAGGGACATGAAGATCAAGTCCCCGGAGGAGATCTCTCTCTTCTCTCTGCCCATCAAGGAATCTGAGATCACTGACTTTTTCCTGGGGGCCGCACTCAAGGATGAGGTTTTGAAGATGATGCCGGTGCAGAAGCAGACCCGGTGGCCAGCACACCAGGTTCAAGGCGTTTGCTGCCTCTGGGGACTACAATGGCCACGTCGGTCTGGGTATTAAGTGCTCCAAGGAGGTGGCCACCGCCATCCGTGGGGCCATCACCCTGGGCAAGCTCTCCATTGTCCCCGTGCGCAGAGGCTACTGGGGGAACAAGTTCGGCAAGCCCCACACCGTCCCTTGCAAGGTGACGGGCCACTGTGGCTCTGTGCTGGGGCCTCCTCCCTGCACCCAGGGGCACTGGCATTGTCTCAGCCCCTGTGCCCAAGAAGCTGCTCATGATGGCTGGTATCAGTGACTGCCACACCTCAGCCAGGGGGTGCACTGCCACCCGACAAGGCCACCTTTGATGCCATCTCTGACTTACAGCTACCTGACCCCCGACCTCTGGAAGGAGCCTGTATTCACCAAGTCTCCGTATCAGGAATTCACTGACCACCTCGTCAAGACCCACACCAAAGTCTCCGTGCAGAGGACCCACGCTCCAGCTGTGGCCACAACAAAGGGTTTTTATACAAGAAAAATAAATGTGTTAACCCTGAAAAAACAAAACAACAGAAAATGAGGCCAAAGAGCCCGTGGGTTAAACAAAAAGCAGGAACAAGATGGGCTCCCGGGGATGGACACCTCCTTCCCCACAGGCGCCTCAGTCCTGCGGGGATGCACCCACATCCAGGCTCCATGCTACCCGGAGAGAGACTAGAGGCTTGTGCCAGCCCAGATGGGAGGCACCAAGGTCCTGGGAGGCCCAAGGATGTGCTCAGGATGGTGCAGTCACTCATGCTGGCCCCAGCGTAGCCCCCGCATGGCTCCCCAGTGGGTTGGCCACGGGCATGAGCTGTGCCCCCGCACCTGGCTCTGCCCCTGCACACCCGGGGCCCCCAGCAGCCTCCACGTCCACAGCCTCTGACGGGGCTTAGATGCTTTCCGATTCGAGGCAACACTCTTGAAGTGGTTTTCATGGGGGCAGTGGCATTTGGGTTCCTGAGGGCACCTGTCCCAGGCAGTGCCAGAGTGCGCCTAGAGCTGGGCGGCCTCTGGGGCTGCGTGGTGGTGACTGTCCACGCTCAGGATGTGGAGGTAACTGACTTCTGTGTGCACAGCCCCTGCCTCCCGGGATGTGCTGTGCGCATGCTTGTACTTTTTAAAAATACTGCTTTGTTGGGATTTAAGCGACATACAGTGAACTGCACATCTTTAAAGCATGCAGTTTGACGACTCTGGATACAAGAGCACACCTGTGAAGCTACTCCTGCATTCACGCAACCCAGAGAGCAGCGCTGTCTGGCTCGCCGGCGTCCTGCGCCCTGCTCGCATTTGCTGCGATGACCACTGCTTCCATCTCTCACCATGTGTCTTCTGTGTCACCCCCCACCCACCTTCCCTTTCCCTCTTTTTCTACAAATATTTAGACTGGATTCTTTTTAGACGGAGTCTCGCTCTGTAACCCAGGCAGAGTGCAGTGGCGCGATCTTGGCTCACTGCAACCTCCGCCTCCCAGATTCTTGCAATTCTCCTGCCTCAGACTCCCAAGTAGCTGGGACTACAGGCACATGCCGCCACACCCGGCTAAATTTTTGCATTTTAGTAGAGATGGGATTTTACCGTGTCACCCAGGCTGGTCTCAAACTCCTAAGCTCCAGCAATCCGCCTGCCTCAGCCTCCCAAAGTGCTGGGATGACAGGCGTGAGCCACCGCGCCCAGCCTGGACTGGATTTCTAAAAATTCAATTTTATCTCCTCTGACGGTTTATTAGCTGTCATTGTTTTGTTATGTTAGTGATTGTTTCAAGGGTTTCTAAGTATGTCTTTAGCTTACCACAATCTACCGTCAAGTGGTACCACCTCACTTCACGTATCATATCCAGCTTCTCCCAGCCCTCATGCTACTGCGGCTGCGCAGCTCACCCAGACGTAGAGTACAAACCGCAGATACATTAATACTTTTGTTTAGACAGTTAGCTTTTATTTTTTTGACAGAGATGCAGTCTTGCTATGTTTCCCAGGATAATCCCCAATTCCTGGGCTCAAGTGACCCTCTGGCCTCAGCCTCCCAAAGTGCTGGGATTAGACATGAGCCACCACACCCGGCCAAGCACTAATCTTTTAACCCGTTTCCCATTTAGAAAAAAAAGTGCAGCTCACTTCCAGGGCTCACTTCTTGGGGCAAATGGGAGATGCGTTAAAGAGAGTTAAATAACAGGAGGGAAATCGTCTTGTGCACAGGCTCTTCATTTTTCTTTTCCTGAAGCACACCCTTTAACGTTTCTTGCAGTGCGGGTCTGCGGGTGACGAATTATGTTAGCTTCCGTGTGTACGCAAATGTCTTTACTTCACCTTCCTTTGGAAAGATTTTGTCAGGCACAGAATTTGACTTTGGCAGTTTTCTCCTTAGGACATTACGCTGCCTCACCCACACGGGCTGCTCCCGAGGAGTCGGCCGTCCCGAGAATTCGGCCGTCCCCGAGGAGTCGGCTCTCCCCGAGAAGTTGGCCGTCCCGAGGAGTCGGCCGTCCCGAGAAGTCGGCCGTCCCGAGAAGTCGGCTCTTCCCGAGAAGTCGGCTCTCCCTGAGGAGTCGGCTCTCCCCGAGAAGTTGGCTGCTCCCAAGAAGTCAGCTGCTCCCGAGAGGTTGGCTGTCCTCATCAGATTTGTGCCTCCCAACAAAATGTGCCCTTGTTCTCTGACTGCTTTTAGGATTTTCTGCTTATCCCTGGTTCTATGCAGTTTGATTATGATGTGCATTCACGTCTCTTGTGTTTGGAGTTCACAGGGTCTACAGGACTCCAGACTTACACCAGTGGCCCCGTGTTCTCAGGCCTTTGGCCTCTGAGTCACGCCACTGGCCTCCCTGGCTCTGAGGCTTTAGGACTTGGACTGAGCCACAGCAGCAGCTTCCTTGGGTCTCCAGCTTGTGGGCGGCCTACTGTGGGGCTTTTTACCTGCCACAATTGTGTCAGCTGACCCCCCAAGGCCCCTCTGAGCTGTCTGCTGGTCTGTCTGCCTATCTATTGATCTATCTGTCTGTATATACATCAAGCTATCTCCTATTGCTTCTGTCTGGGAGACCTGACTAATGCAACCAGCTTCCACCGATGCCTCTTGAAGCTGCCTCACAGTCTCTTCTGTGAAATCCAGCCAGTTCCCCCATCCCGGGTAGTTTTCACTGTCAATATTGTGGGTTCTCTCCCCATAAGGCCAGTCTGGGTCTTCTTGGTCTCTTCCATGCGATTTCTGAACTTTTTGGACGTCTGGGATGCAAGTGCAGCCACGGTGTGAGTTCTGTTGTTCTCGCTCCAGTGCCGGCTCTGCACGGTCGGCTTGCCCAGCGGTGACTCTCCCTGGCATGTCTGCACTTTGCTGCGCCTCTGCAAGCTGTGAACTCTGAGGTCGGGCACCCTGAGTTTACCCTGCAGGGTGCAGACACTTCGGGAACTAGAGATCATCTCGAGCTTTGGTCGGGGACGGAGTGAATTATCTGCAAAAGTCTGATCATTTTTGGTCTTGCTTTTATGATTTTGTAGGTTGGTCAGGAGCAGGGCTCATTCTAGGGCTAATTACCCCCACTCCTGAGGCACGACCTTCTGAGAACTCCACCTAATGCTCACAGGCTGGCTGCTGGGAACGGGTCCTGTCCCCAGCCCACGTGAGCACCAGGAACTGATCTTCAGTCAAAGGCTTCTCCCAGCCTGGCAGCCTCCCTGCTGGAGTGTGCGAATGGGTAGCACCCCACTGGAGGGGCCGATCGGGTGAGTCCTTCTCCAGCAGGTGTCTCTCTGACCTCAAACGCCTGCTGATGTGGTTTCTCCAACTCACGGAGGCTGCTGGGCTCTTCCTGGACTCTCCCTGCACTGAGGCCTGGAACCTCTCAGGGCAGAGGTTGGGGCACCTCCAGGCTCACCTGCCGTCCTCCTGTCTCTCAGGGATCACGGTCCTTTGTTGCCAAATGTCTGTCTTGACATCTGTTTCATGTTTTGTCTGTTTCTTTTGTTTTCAGTCTGTTTCCTATGATGTTGTCTTGGGTGGAAATGGAAGTTTTGTTTTTTAAATAAAAGTTTAAATTTGTTTGAAAATGTTTGGGAGTATCTAAAATCCTGGGAAACACCTGGACACATGCCCTACTGCTCCCTGTGTATCGTCCTGGCCGCCTGATGGGCATCTGTACCCCGACAGCCGTCAGGCCTGGTGTGCCCGGCTCAGTGGCACAGTGGGAGCCCCTCACGCACCGCAGCCTGGGTGCCCGTCTCCAGCTCTGGCTCTGGCTCATCTTCCTCGACGCAGGCTCTGATGTCAGATGACCAGGGGCCGTGGGCAGGGCTCCACAGGCCCGGGTGGGCTGGGCTGGCGGACACAAGCAGGCCTGGCGACCCCAGGATGGAGGCTTGGCTGCTGGAGGAGGAGGTGCTGCTGTCCGAGATGGTGGAGTGTGGCCGCTTGCAGGGGGCGGCATGGTCGAAGGAGGGCACCACTGCGGACCCTCTCGCTTGTGACTCTGGAAAGGGACAGAAAGCAGGTCGGGCCGGCCTCCACTCCAGAAGTGCCGCCAAGTTCAGGAATGGGATCAGGGCCGTCCAGAAGGCCGACCAGGCTTTGCCCCCGAAGACGTGCCCGTCCCACCCACCACGTCGGCCGCAGGCCCCATGTGCTCTGCAGGGCGAGTGAGGGCGGGGCTGAGGCCATGTTACCTGTGCCTTGGACGGTGCAGCCGTGGGCCCGGCTGCTGATCGCTGCACTGCTGGGCTGGATGTCCAGGAATGGCTTGTTCCCTATCCCCATGGACGCCATTTCTTGGATCCTGAGTTCTAAGACAGAGGAAAGTAGGACAGTTTCCAAAGCGACTCGGGGGCTAGTGCCCACCCGAAGATCCCAGCGCCAGGGTGCGGGGTTTCCCATTCGGGTTTTCAGCACCGTGGAGATCTCTTCCCAGGAGCCCAAGGCAGTAGGCAGGAAAGAGGAGGCCACGAGACCTTGGAAACAGCGTGTCCAGCCTGGCGGGGAGGAAGGTCCCTGTCTGCCGGTAAGCGGGGGAGGCCACGCAGGATCCCTGTCTGCTCGTAAGCAGGGGAGGCCACGCAGGGTCCCTGTCTGCCGGTAAGC